TTGATTCTCCAAATTTACAGGCATATTGTTACTTGCACTTTTTTCTATTACTTCTGCTAATTGATTCATACACCAAATTTCTAATATAGCATACTCCCGTTTTGTAAGGCCAAATCCATGATCAACTGAATTTCTAGTATGACCTTTAATTTGAAAATGATATTTGACTTCTTCGAATATTTGGGCATGACAGGTCCAAAGAAGATACCAAAGAAGACAAGAATTTTTATTCTGTCTACTGCAATTATCTGCCCATAATCAAATTTTTTTTGCATTACCTGCGGCAGAAGCAAGAAATAGATGCACAATTGAGGCAACTTTATTTGCTCCTTTAGAAGCTTTTCTTTCCGAATATATTATGTGCCAGTGATTATTAATACCTTCATCTACCAAACCGAATTGGTATGCTTTCAACAACAGTAAATAGTACCACTTTCCAGGTTGTTGAGAATCATGAGGCAATTCTACATCTTGGGCAAAATCGAAGGAGAAAGTGTGAAATCGGGTTCGATCACATGTCTTGGCAGATCATATATCATCTTCATAGGCATCTCTCATTGCGAGATAATTGGCTATGTGTGTTGATAATTGTATATCAAGATTCTCATTAATATCATTACTTTCCTTTAACGCCCATTTAAACAAGGTATATTCATTACACACATCTTTAGAAGGTTTTCTAATTGTGATCTTACTAAGTGTAGGATCGCTTTTCCATATTTTTTTAAAAGTATTGTGACTTTTAATCAAATTATTAGAATTCATCAAGTTATATATAGCCAGAAGACGATCATAAGAATAGTGAGAGGGAAGGAGAACATTATCATGCTTTTCATAGGTCACTATTATCTGCCTATCTGTTTTTTTTTGAGTATACTTTTGAACTGCTAATGCTTCACCATGTCGTTCACCCATCAAATTAATAAAAGATTTTGTTTTATTAACTGTCTCAGTAGACAAGATGTTCTTGGGTGAGTGACTAGTATTACTATGAGGTCGGGGTAACATAGTTTTACATTCTTGAATCAAACTATGAAGATTATATAATGCATCTTTACCACATAACCAAAATATTTTAAAGAAAAAACAGCAAACTCTGCCAAAATACGGGAGTAGATAATCTTTGATATAGGTCTGGTTTTTGTGATGTTTATTATAAAGAGAAGATATAAGAATCATTATCGAATAGCATCTTTGATTTTTGTTCAATTGAAGACTTTCTAATACCAAGAATTGTAAAAAGCTTGGTACAACCTTTTTAATACAACTGTCTTTACATGAACAACAGCTTCTAGGTTTATCAATTAAGTTATTTATGGCTATTCATCAATTTCTTCACTTTTTTCATTGAACTGATTAATTTTCTCAAACTCTTCTTTCATAGTATCTTCGCATTGGGAATCTTTATCTGATTCAAGAGTAGCAAAGTCAAGAGTATCAATAAAGTATTCTAAAT